GTTTTGTTTTTTCCAAGTGAGTTGTGTGATTGTAGGAGCGGGAGCTGAATGATGTCATTTTGTTCTTCTGGGGGTCCTGTAGGTTGCAAGGAATGTAGGAGGCAATTATAGAATTAGTTGGCTGGCTTCCTACTATAAACTTGGACTTGAAAACATTCCAGATCTGCTTCCTAAGAGGGAACTGTGAATCTAATGGTGAAGGGGGGTGGGCTCTCTAAAGTCATTGGGTTCCTGAGAAGAGTGGAGAAAGCTTATCTAGAGGGGTTTGTACCCTCTTATAGCATTCGTGATGGATGTATACTGGACTCCAACTTTTCACCTAAGGTTTTTCTTAGCATTAGGAGATGCATATTGAATTCTACTTAGATCCGCACTTAGAATCACCCCTTGCAAAAATGTCCAGACCTCCTGGACAGAGAGAGAGAGAGAGAAACAACAAATAGGTTTTACAAAAGTACACAGGCCAAGATGAAAGGAAATCTTCTCTGTACAGGAAAGAAATAACAGGTGAAAATTTCAAGTTAAAGGAAAGATGCCATAGAAAGAGTGATAAAGAACTCTTAAAATTTTTCATCCTGAAAGGACAGACTGCATTTAGTACCATTAGAGAAGGGTTACAGTGCCGAAGGATTGCGTGTCATGACTGAGAAATGACTAGACGAAGGCTGTTTCATGTACCATAAGGCTGGCCACTTTAGACAGACGTGTCACCTACCCTCCAGGGAAGACCACACAGAAGTGGGCAACGGAAGCAAATATCATTCTGTGCTGTTGCCTAAAGAATTTTTAATACTGTTTATATTGGCAGGAGAAGGCGAATTCTGAATTCCCTGGCACATCTGGGATGTTTTAACCCTTTCTAAAAACTATTAACTCTCCACGTGACACATTGATAATGATAACAGTTATAATTTTAGTTGTAATGAATATATTGCACACTTGGCTTGGAAGTAGAGGTTGATGGAGGTAGGGAGGGTCTTTCTCTCATATCACAGGGTCTCCTGGGAATTATAGCAACAATGCTGCTTAATTCCTGCAGCAAGATGGAATGTCCCAAGACAAACATTTTTATTATACAATGTATTTCTGTTTCTAGAAAAATGGTTCGTCTTCATTATAGTAATTTTAGGAAGTAAACAAACAAAAATGTTAAATGCTATCTTAGAGATAACTACCAGTAATATGTGGCTGGATGTGTACATGTCTACACATATATATGTTTTTGTTTTGCAAAATCACTACCTGTATTTTAGAATGAGCCTTGTCAACCTTTGTCACTGGATATTTTCTATGACATTTTTCAAAGTTGGATAAACACATTCCACTTTAAATATCTCTAATTATTATGAATTGTCCATCTATCAAGCCAAACATTCCTCCCAATAATTTATATGCATTGGTCCTTTGACTGTAGTCCAGAGTCACAAGCAACAAAGAGTCTGATCCTCCTTTTCCAGGACAACCTTTCAACTATGTGAAGACTGATTACTCTCAGGTCTCCGTCTTATTTTTCTTTCTTTACATAAACAAATGTACAAAGACTACACCTATTTAAATCAAATTTGACGAGTTTGGACATGCGTATATGCCATGAAACCATCATGAAAATAAAACAAATGAACACATCTATCATCTCCAAAAGTTTGCTCATGCTTTTTGTAGTGTGTGTGTTGGGGCGGCGGGGGGAGAAAAACATCTAACCTAGGATCTATCCTTTTATTAAATTTGGATGCACAATATGGTACTGTAAACTGTAGGCACAGTAGTGTAGTAGATCTCTAGATCTTTACTCATTAGCATCACTGAAACTTTAAAACCTTTGAACAACAATCTCATATTTCTCCCTCTCCCCAGCCTCTGGGAGACACATCCAAAACTGTGCATGTATGAGCCTGATTATTTTAGGTACCTTCTATCAATAGAACCACTCAGGGTTTGTCCTTCTGTGATTGGCTTATTTCACTGTGTGTGAGGTCCTGAAAGTTCATCCATGTTGTTGTATATGGAAAGATTTTCTTCTTTTTTTAATGCTGAATACTATTCCATCGCATGTACAGTTTGCATTTCTTTTGTTCACTCATCCCTTGACAGACATTTAGGTTTTGTTCCTTTTTCTTGGACATTGTAAACAGTGCTGTAGTGAATATGGGAACACAGACAGCTCTTCAGAATCCTGATTTCAATTCTTTTGGATAAATACTCAGAAGTGGATTAATGTATCATATGGTTTTTCTATTTTTAATTTTTGAGGAATCTTCAACTACTCTTGAACAAGGGTGCCAAGAATCTACAAAGATGAAAGGATAGACTTTTCAACAAATAGTGCTGGGAAAATTCTATGTCAGAATGGAAAAGAATGAAATTGGACCATTTATCCTACAGCATACACATAAAACCCAGCTTCAAAAACTTTAAAGTTTTTATAAATAGGGAAGAGAGGAGGGGGTAAAAGGAGGGGAAGGGTATGGGGAAAAATGAGAACCAAGATCTGTCATGTAAAGGTACAAGATCCCAATTATGAATGTAATTATACTGTATACCTAAACGTACCAATAAACTCAATGAGAAAAAAAAAAAGAAAAGAAAAAAACCCCCAGCTCCAGATAGATTTAAAATTTAAATGTAAAACTTGAAAATTACCTTTTTGCTTTTAATTAGCTTCAGTTTTCAGGCCTATTTCATGATTCTTACATCCAGCTATCATATTTCTTTGCCTTTGGATTAATTTCAATTGGCCATTTTCCCACAGGTGGACACAATATGTTGGAAAATCTTGGAGGTATCTCTTCCTTTTTAGGGTGGAATTTTGAATGCATCCATCTAGCCTGAGTTGCATTGACTTTTGGAAGTTGACTCATTGTTCACACACTGAGTCTTCCATGTCTTGCTGTCTCCTCTGCTTTTATTCAGTAACCACAATCTGTACTGCCATGGTGATGTATCTTCTAATCACACACACCATGCTCCTGGCCCCAACAAATCCAGCAAGTATTTCTCGAACGCTTCTTGTGTACCAAGAACGCACACAACAGTGCTACAGTGTTAAAGGAGGTAGATTTGTTCTCCTTCCCTCAACAAACTTACAGTCTGAAATATAGAAAGGGACCAGGTAAGGTGCTACGGCAGCATAGGAGAGACGGTCATTGATTACAACTTGGAAATAGCTTGCTAAAGAAATACGACTTAAGACCTGATAGAGATATGAAACTTAGTATTAGATTCAGCCCATTGTCCCAACCTACTGAGATAATTTCAGATCTTGATTCAATATATATTTTTATTTGTGAATGATAGAAATGTTATCTCCATGATCAGATAAATTGTACAGAAATGACGGGGACAACAGGGCCCAGGACAAGTCATTTTGATATCATAAACCTTCTTGCAAATGTTTCTAGATTCATCTGCTTATATTTTTCTTTAAGGAATGTTTCCTTACTAACCTATCTGCATTGGATAAAGAATGTGGGGTTTCTTACCAATATCATGCTATATTCGAAGGTCATTTATATTAAAGAAAAAAGACCATAATAATGGTGAGGCAAAAAAATCAGCAAGAAAGAACGAAAAACTCGGAGACCCTCCAGGAGGGACAGTAAGCAACATTGCAGGATCACATCCATTTCCCTCCTCCCAGTTAAGTATGGAAATTCACCTGTGAATTCGCGACTGTAGCCCAGCCATGAATCAGAGAGTGACGGCAGGGGGAATCTCTGTCCTGCATGCAGGGTAACTGCTGCTGAAAATGATACGGCTGACCCATGTTTTGTGGAATGATAATCCATTTGGAAATTACTTGCAAACTTCAAATACAGTCTTGCCAAGAAAGCCAGCCTGTTCTTCTCTTCTCGTAAACTCTATGACTTCATTCGGTTAAAGAAAGCATTTTGCAGGGAGCATTTCCTCTATTTTGCTGCTGCTATTGGTATTATCGAATGCTGTTTCATGAATTTGTTGGAAAATGAGACCCTTTGTCTTGCAGATTTAAGTTGTAAGGCCATCCATTTATACAAATCCACTGCAGGCCCATTTGGAGAGTTTAAAAATGTTTAATTTTAGCAATAACATGTAACTGATTTTCTGTGCAGAGAATTTTTTTTCTGTCTGGCGGTGAGTCACGGTTTTAATACCTTGAACGGCTTTGCCACAGGTTCCTTTCTCACATGTGGGTTGTGCTTTGAAGTAACAGTGGGTTGAACCTGCTGGTGTGATTTTTAGCTTAGCTCTTTTGCAGACAGCATGGAGTGGAGACAGAGGGGTATTTTGTTAGAGGGCTTGGGCAAGGTGAAAGTCCACAGCACTGTTCACTGTCAGCCTGGATGGCACGAAGGAAACACTTCTCCCTGACACCAGCCCTGAGGCAGACCCTCAGCAGGAGCCACAGCAGAAAGCCAGCTTTTCACCTTCAGCTGTGTCTTTTATAAAATGTGACTTTGATATCTTTTTTCAAGTGATCGAACAAGCAGGAATCACTGAACATTTCTGCACTCCTCTAAGTGTGTTATGAATAAACTAGCAACTCTTTTCAGCTCACCTTTTGGAATGCAGGGTGCTATACTTTATTTGCACCTTAGGCACAACTGAGCTGCTCTTGTCTGTTATGGAATGCTTTACTCATTTAGGAAAATCTAGGCAGGAAAAATTACTTTTTCAAAAATGTGAGTCACCGAATTGTTGAAGTGCAGTAGTTAGTGTGTCTGTAATGTTCAACAAGTGTTTTGTTAAAATATTACATTAGAAAAAACTTTTGACTGTCATCCATTTATCCGTCCATTTATCTGTTCACAGTAAAGGGAGCATTTACTGAAAAGTGGTTCTGTTCTGGGCCTAGAAGACATAAAGGTGCATCAAACACTGACTTCCCTTTATGGGCTCACAATCTACTCATGCAGCCAGAAGTGGCAGGAGGAAAATTAGGTTTAGTGTGCAAAGTGTCATTATAGCAGGGAAAAGTGGTTGCAGAGAATTACAAAGGAAGGTTGCTCTCTCCTTCTTTGTAGGAAGATGAGAAGAAGGCAAAGGACCAGAGCTACTGACATGCGCACAGCCATCAAGGAAATGCTAAGGTGACTGGCAAGAAGAGAAGGCCCCGCACTCACGGAGCAGCAACCAGCAGTGTGGGACAAGATCTGATTAAGGGGGAACAGTGTCCCAGGCCTCCGATGCTCTGCCCTCCAGAAGAGGTGAGGCCAGGAAGGCAGGAGTCATCTAGAAGCCTCCAAACAGGGGCTTATGCTGAGCATGTAGGACCGGTAGTGCTTTGTTTGACTTTTCATTGTAGATGACAAGAATAATCTAGGGCAAAAATATAATCTACCATGGGGGGGTGGGAAAATCGCTATTTTTTAGAGGTTTGGGGAGTCAATTTCTTTCACTGATAAACCCTCAGGTAAGGTATGGTAGCTCTATGGGCATATGAACAGATGAACCCTATTGGATGAATATTTACAGTGAAAGCAACAGAAAGGGCGAGAATAATGAGCTACAGTCACTCATTGTGGAGGGAGTGAGCATAGCAATACCGCATAAGGATATGCTAAGAATGAGTCTCGGTAGAAACAAGAAGTTTACAAGAATGGATGTATTTTTGTTGGTCACATGAAAAGCACAGGATGGAAATTCAGGCATGTGGAGATTATATATCTATTTCTGAGAAAGGGAATTTCAGGATGTCTCGTGCATAAGAGGGGCCCGGGGATGTGGTAACAGCAGAACGGAACACACGCTGTGCTATTCACAAACTTGTGCATCTGCACTGCAGGTACGGAGCAGATGAGATGAATTAAACTCGTCTGTTTCTACTACTCGTTTCAACCCACTTACATAAGTCTGGGCCAATTTTTAAAAGGAGTCTTTACTGAGCTTCCTCTTCCATCGTTCTTGATGAGTGGTGAATCACTGGGTGCTTCGAGCTAAGGGAGACACATTTCTGACAACCAGGAGAGAATGATTTGGAAGACGTGGGGGTAAGGCAGTCAAACAAGAAAATCCTCTGACCAGAAAGTTCCTGGTCAGACTCACAGCTGCTATCTTCCCAGCACTGTTGGCCAGCGAGACTCAGGAAGTAACCTTGGGTAATATTTTCCTCATGGGCGGGGGTTCTTTAGTCAATATTCAGTTCAGATGTTCATTTCTCTCTAAAAGTCAGGGTGGTCTGTAAAAGCCCTTCCATAGTTGCGGGCAGAGGAAAGGTATTTTGGAGCAGGCAAATGGCTGCAATCCCACGTTGTAGAGTGGGCCTTGGAGGACAGCCAAGCTTTCCGGGGCCTTGAATTTGCATGAGTCTGTGCATTCACAAGCAGGAAGAGAAGTAGCCGGAGTTATATAAAGATGACTGATGAAGACTGAACTTTAACGTGTGATGTGAAATCAGAGACTACGCTAGTAACTCTCCCAGTCAAGCTGTAAGTACGGACACACGGATGATGCTACAGAACCCAGCGCGATTCTTGCCCCACTCTGAGCAGGGCTTACAGAAGAAAGGTAAGGGGCTAGGGACACAGGTCCACAGTAGAGCACCTGCCTGGCATGCACAAGGCTCTGGGCTTAGCTCCATCACTGCAAGAAGATGAAGAAGAATGAGGAGGAGAAAGAGTAGTTAAGGACGGGACCATCATAGATATATTAACCTTATGGGTATCTGGTTAGTGAGGTGCTTTCTCAGTATCTCGTGAGGAAAGATGGATGGTGACACAACAAAGTACCCTATAGTTATATTCATTCGTTGGGTATTGGAACTCTGAATCTTACATGTAAGCATAATATTAATAACAGTAGCTTTATTAACATTACACTCTCATACACAGATCTGTTCTGGGTACATAATTTTCTTTAAAAATGTAATAAAAATAATCCCACGTGGACTTGATGCGAAAAATATACGCACTAGGTAGGTCCGACTGATACTGGCAGAAGCAGTAAGTGGCAGTCTTCACTGAACAGAGCCCCCACAAAGCGAACTCCCCTCGGGTGTGCCCGAGGAAAGTCCACAAGTTTATGCTTGTTAAGTAGATCCCTGAAATGTTTGAGAACTGGGATAGCACCAAGTCCTACGCCTTTTATTTCATAGGCAAGGAGGCAGAGGCCAAGGGGAACTTCCCATGTAACAAAAGGTCACCCCTGGGCCCAGAATCCATGGCCTCAAGTCTACTCAGCCAGCCTTGGAAAGAAGACAGAGGGAGTTATTGCTGGTTTCAGAAGAAGACATTATGCAATGTAAACAGCTGTATCCACTCCCAGGGGAGTTGCATTTCCAGCATTGATGAACATATCCCAGAGAGTAAGTAACCATGACAGGGGAACCAGCAGTCTTTGCTGCGCGTTCTCTCTCTCTCTCTTTGCTTTCTCTGTTTTTCTCCTTTGACATGGGCTGTCTGAGAATGGCGCAAATGTCTGCTAACTTCCTCCTCCTGGTTTCCCGACGTGGCAAGAAAATAACTAATTTGAGGACTCTGACAGCGAGGGCACTGGGGAAATGGGGCGGTCTGGGAAAAGTGTGAAGGAAGCAGCCGTGTGTTCCTGCTGAGATGGGCACATCTGGGCCTGACCAAGTAATTAGCTCTCTGGAGGAGTTCAGCACCCTCTTTTCTTCCTGTCTTTCTAGTCAGAGGCAAATCCTACCAGACTCCATGTGGTCCCACCATAAAGTGGAAGAAAGTCTCTGCTCTATTTATTACTAGGAAATAAATACGAGCAGCTCTTTTCAGAAGAGATTTGAGCCCTGAGGGATGGAACACGTAGGTAGAAATCCCTTATTGAAGAATGACTTTAGGAGCCACTGCACAGCCTCTTTGAGTAGGCACCGAAGGACAAGTCTTGAGAATTTCAAGTTGTCAAATGTCCTCAGGAAGGATTGTGAGACAGGAAAAGATAAGAAGAAATGTCTGTAAATTGCAGTGTGACCACATTGCTATGAACCAGCCTCCTCCTGAAAGTCTGTGGAAAGCTCACGTGTTGAGGGACTGTGTTCTCCTACTTCCTGCTCCTCTGCGTTCCAGTACTGTTCCTTAAAGGAGGTTGGTAATTGCAAGATATTCCATATGAAAGAAGACATGTACACTTCATGAGAGAAATAGACAAGGTAATAAACCAGAAGAGAAGATGAGGACAGTGGTGAGACCGTAGGAGAAGGCAGGAAGGCTCACAACCAGGGAGATGCATGTGGTCACCTCACAGGGTGAGGATTCTTGAGCACAGCAACCTTTTCCTGCCACAGTGTATTTGCATGTACTCCCTCTTTCTGGAAAAGTCTAGCCAAGTTCTTTTTAAAAATTAAAAAACAAATTGTGGTAATGGGGGTTAAATCCAAGATCTCTTGTATTCTAGGCAAGCGTTGTGACCCTGAACTACATCCCCAGCCCCTTTCAAGATTTTTTAAAATTTTGAGACAAGGTCTCAGTACTTTGCTCAGGCTGGCCTCGAAATTGCAATCCTGCTGCCTAAATTTCCTAGCTGCAGGCATTCTGGGCATGACCCATCATTGCAGGCTGCCCATGTTCTTGACAGAGATAATCCTTCCTGGCTCTGCCATCTTTGCTCCCTGCCATCCTAGTCCTCTCCCTCAGAGGACTGCGCTCATTTCCTTCACAATGTTATTCACAAGGCATGATTTGTTAAGTTATCTGCCAAGCATCCATTTCATTTCAGGCACTGTCCCAGCACTGGGGATGGCAATGAAGATCCTGGCCTTCGAGCTCCCGCTCCACTGGGGACTGGACCAGGCCACAGTGAAATGAGGCTCACCAGGTCCAGGTGCCACGTCCAGAGTTCCACGGAGAGCAACTCTTCGACCCTCTGGAGGGACTGACACGGCAACTGCCGTAGGAGCCGTCAGCACACAGAGGAGGAAAGAGTGGGGTGGGAGAGTAAGGACTTGTCCCGGGCCTCGCGTTTGCCCAGCATCCCTGGACATCATTGTCTATGATCCATCTTTCCCACAGAATAGCTGCTCTAAGACATCGGGGGACCTCAGGGTCCTGTTCTCTGTTGTCGTCTCAGCATCTGGTGCGGAAGAGGTGCTTATAGTTACGAACTGAATGAAAGACAAAAAAATGGTACTTTAATATGCCTGTTAGAAACATACTGGGTTATTTCCATTAAGAAGGCTGCGCATTCGAGAAAATGTTATTTCCATCTGTGTTGGCTGTGTTGTGGCAGAATCAGCCCTCATTCTGCCTCTGATTTTGATCCTATTATTCTAACATATTGAAATGTGCTCTGTTCTCTAACTACACTTCACTATTGTATCCTCTTTAGTTAACATTGAAAGTGACATTTCAATTCTCCTCTTATTGCTGCCTCCTTTCTACGCTATTTATTGATGTTGCTGTGTTTTGTCTCCAGGAAGCGAACGCGAATTCCTGCAATGAAAACCACCTGCCCTCAGCTTAGATTTTAGCTCACTGTGACTCAGGGGCTGGCTCTGGCACCCAGGCACAAGAACTCCAGAAGTTTGGACGAGACTTTGGGTATCTGAGGAGGAAATACCTGGCCCAACTTGTCACCATTCAAGAGGAAACCAGAGAGAGATTCTAATAATAAAAGATGGTATCCTGGGTGAGGGTGAGACTGTTTGTAAGCATACGTCCTGTGTAGACCGTGCTTGCAGCTGTGTGTCGGTGGTGGCTTCTTGTATCGTGGGCGCTCCCTCGGGATAGCTGAGAAGCGTTAGGGTTCCAAGTAGGCTGATAATGGAATTCACCCGCCATCAAACACAACCAGGAGAGAGGGGAAAAAAAAAGTAGGAACAAAATCAACTAAACAAGAATAAAAGAAAGAAATCTCATCGATGATGGGTCTGTTGAGAGGCTTCTTAGCAAGAAGGCAGAAGATGTATATAAAAAAATGGGAGCAGCACTGTTTTCATCAGGCACTGGTGAAGCCCTTTATGCTTCATCCCATTTTTCCTTCCTGACAGTAATTCTGTGCCGTAAGGAGGACTCTGACACCTCTCTGTGCACTCTTTCTCAGGAGGAGATTCAAACCTGGGTCTGACGGGCTCTAAGGCTTTGAGGTTTGATCACGAGCCTGCATTTGGCAGAACAACCCTGGTCAAGGAGATCAGGGAGGGAAAAGAACAGTGGATTCTCAGGCCCAGCACCTCTCGTCTTGCTTCTGTGCTCTGGCATTCATGCAGGGGTTGATAGGGCATTGGGTTGGAGCAGAACTTCTTTTTGGAGTTTTAGGATGTTTCCTTTGGACTTTCTGCCATTTCCTGTTCATCAATATTTCAGTAAGTAATTTGGTGTACAAGAGAGGAAGGTCTAGGAGAGATGAGCTCATTTGCTCCTCATAAATATATTCTCAGGAAAGGGTTTTTCTATTTTACAAAGAAAACACCAAGGAGCAGAGTAGGGATTATTTGCACAAGGACACAATCTAAATTTGAATGCTAAAATTTGCTCAGTCACAAATTTGACTGTTGTTGTTTTTTTTTTGGGGGGGTATCGGAGATTGAACCCAGGACCTTGCACTTGTGAGGCAGGTGGCGGAACCACTGAGCTACATCCCCAGCCCTACAAATGAATTTTGCCAAGACTAATCGGGTCCCCTTGTGCTGGAGATGCCCTTCTCCGCTTGCCTGAACACCCACAGGCAGGCTCTTCCTCCATGTGGGGCTCTGTGGTAGAGAGTAGAAGCCTACACAGCCCACATTTCCTTCTTGGGCAGCTTTCAGGGATGCCTTTTATTCCACCTCAGGCTGTCCACTGAGGGGAGGTCCAGTGAGCTGTTGACTACTGTTTGCTTCTTGTGGCCAGGCCTGAGTCTGTGTTTGTTTATTTTGTGTGTGGTAGAGGGAGGGAGCAGACGCTAGCTGGCAAGGAAGGTGAGTCTCCTATTTTTGTGAAAACGCAGGCTTGTTGCACTGGATGGTCTTGGGAGAGAAGTGGGTGAATAAACGGTAGTAGCTGAAATTCAAAAGACAGAATGGACTGGACCGAAGAGGAGGGAATGAGACTGGAAGCCCAACTACTCCGCCCAGCCCTGGAAGGGGCATTTCCCTCAGGAGTCGGGCTGTGGCCTGAAGCTGAGCCTCCTGAGAGCCCAAGTTGCCATAGAAACTGAGGAACTGCTGACTTCCGAGAACCCCTGGGGTCGTGGGTACACCTATGAACAGACAACCAAAGGCCCTACGTGAAAATGAAGCAGATGAAGCCAAAAAATGATGATGACGTTCACTGCACTCTAGTTTTGTAGACTGAAGTTCATATTCACTTCACCTCCATTCCTTTGCTAAAGAAAACTTGTTATCATTGTGAACAGCTGTTCCTAGATATTGTACAGGTTGGTGTTCATGATCAAACACTGAGAGATGAAAAACAGGGAATGTACACAGCTCATCTTCCATGCCTCTTGCCTGGTTTTTCTATATTATAATAAAAATCCCCTATAGATAGATTTGTTAGGGGGCCTTGCTGTGAAGGCCAGGCTAGCCTCGAATTCTCAGAGATCCTCCTGCCCCAGCCTCCTGAGCCCTGGGATTATAAGTATAAGCTACCACATCTGATTTATAGACAAATCTGTAGCTCCATCTTTAAGAGCTGGGGCTGGAACCTGGTGGCACATGAAGGGTCCTGGGCCGTGCTGGGGTAGATGGAGAGGCACAAGTCCACGGCCATGCAAGGAGTTGCCCACGCGAGTGAGGCAGCATGCCTTTTCTGAGCCAGGGCCTTAATGAATGAGGACGGGAGGAGAGGGAAATGACCTGTTTCACTATCCATCCGGGTGCTGTACTGCTCATGTGGTGTATGTACAGAAGATAAAGCCACGTTCCCTCAGAGATGACATAATAGTCTCCAGTAGAAAGCAGAACAGCGTGGGGGAAAACGAAGAGCTCTAGCAGGCAGGCGTTGAGCCTTGGCACAGAGAAAGAGCTCATTCTCAGTCACTGCAAAAGGATCTCTTTCCAAACCTTAACATCAAAGGTGTGGTGAACTAGCAAAATTTCATATTGGAGGAAGTGCTGTTTAGTACCATCCCTTTACTTTGGGGAAATTTAAAAGAACAATGACAAGAGTCTTATAGTTTTCTCTAGAGGTAAAATGTAAATACTCCTGTTAGTGACCCTGTGATACGGGGCTCCACTTTCTCACCTGCTGAACAGCGCGTGAAGCACGGACTAAGCCGGCCCTGCCTTCCCTCTTCGTTCCTATTGGTCCTTCCCAAAGCCCTGGCCTCCTTCCCTGATCTCTTTCCTTCCCTCAGCCTCTTTCTCCCTGCTTTCTTATTCCTCCTTCTTCCCCTTTCTCTTTCTTCATGACCCCCTGACCTCATTCTGAAAGAATTTCACCACCTTCCATGATAAATGCGTTGCTTGAGATGACTGGATAGATGAGCACATAAAGCAAAGTCAGAACAGAGAGCGAAATGCAAGGAGCTGTCTAGATAAGATTAGCACTCGACTCACGCCATGGAGACCTTTGCCTGCTCCACATGCATAGCTTACTGGCTCTGCACTTTCCAAAGCCCCTTGCAAAGGAGGCAGAAAGGGGGCCTGTGTTACACAGCTCAAGGTCCCCAGATGAAGTGGGTGACTTGGAGGACATCTAGTGTGAGTAGCAAGAACAGAGAGAAATTGCGTTTTGGTGTTTATGATACTGAGTATGTCCCAGAAAACATATATTAGGTCTAGAAGAAGAAACAATTACGATTTAGACTTTAACGGTCTTACTAAGGGGGAAAAATTCCTGACTCTTCAAATTCCAGTATTTTCTGAGTGCACCCAAATATGAATAGTTTGTGGGCTTCTAAACAGAAAGACAGGTTACTCCATAAGTGCTGTTGGGAAAAGCAGTTATATGTTCGCAGAGGTCTGAACCTGGAGCCTTATCTCTCACAGTGTACTAAATTAAAGTCAAAATGGATCCGAGTTACAATAAACCTAGCTCTCTGCTAAGTTCTACAAGAGCTGCTTGCTTCTTTATGGCAATTGATATGTAACTAAATGCCAGAACTGATTCGGGCCTGAAACAGTCATCTTGAAAAGAGGCAGGTGTTGAATTTTGCAGAAATAATGCCCTCACTCTCAGCATGTGACTTAATACCTTAAGAAAAGTGATATTAACTTGAAGCGTGTGATTCCAGGCAGTGCAGAGCTGCGGAGTGTCTGCTGGTTTCCTAACCATTCTTAAATTAAGGCTTTGCAATCTGTTACATAAATCTCTATTTTCTTATTTTAGGTTCAGCCAGCATTTCGCTAGTGAATAAATCAGACATCCCAGATGTCATTTCTCGCTGACTAGATATAAATCACAACCAAAAGGCATTCTGGGTTTGCCAAAATTGCTTCACATGTCAACAGAATCTAATGTTATTGGCCCAGGATCCATCCCCACCCCCACCCCAAAGAGATCCTTTGCCAACAGTTGGGCACCAAAGAATACTCACACCCAGCTTCCAGGCTGAGCAAGGACATCCCTCCCCCCTGGGCACTATGGGCTGTAAATGGACAAGGTGCGTCCCCTGCTTCTGTGCCGCTGTGAAGAATTCACTCTGCCGAGCTGTTAATCAGCTGCTTCCCAGGACCGGAAGGAAAAATGGAGTCGTGCTATTAATTCCTCTCTTTATCTTTGTACCAGTCAGTGAAGGCTCCTGTTGAAATATCCCCAAACCTTAGTGGCTTCACACGGAGATTTATTTCCGACATCACCCGTGCTTTGCAGCTGGTCTCTTTCTCATAGGCATTCGAAAGCCTGGAGCCTCCCTCTGCGTGGTTCCGCCTTCCCTTCACCTTTCCAGCAAGAGCTGCCCTTCATCTCGGCAGCTGTATCGTCTGCAAAAGAGGCAGAGCCCGTGTAGGTTTGTGTAGGGAGTTTTCTGGGTGAGGCCCAGAGGGATGAGCAAGACTTCGTCCCACATTCCAAGCCCCAGGCTCCGTGTGGCTCCTCACTGCCAGGAAGGTGGCCTGCCTGGCTGCTTTCTGACCTCAGAAGAAAAGGGCATCTAGCCGGCTCTACCCCAGATGCCACACTCCTACCCTCTTCTTCTCCCTCCTTTTCCTCCCTCCTTCCTGCCTCCAAGGTTCTTCTTAGTTTGAGGTGTTTCTGTGAGGGGCTGTCTCCTGCTGGCCTTGAAACTGCTGCAGGGCTCCGTGTACCTGGGACTTCCACACTGGGAGACCCAACTCAGACTTGGACTCGTGGCCTGCAAAGAAATTTAGGATCAATAATTTTCAGATGTTTAATCTGAGTTTATCAGCATGTGTTGAGGAACTAGCCGTATTTAATATTTAGCAAGGGAGACATGAAGTTTACCATGATGTAAAGTTTATAAACAGTAAGATTTTAAGTTTAAACTTCCCCTTTTAACAAATGACTTTTTTCTAACTAGTGCAGGATGGGGTATTAGCTCCACTCTCCATCTTCAGTGTTGACTAGTGATCACAAGTATTGCCTGACTGTGATTTAATGTAGCGAATTAGATACAAAGAATTTCAGATGAAAAGAACATCCTCCTCTAATCTCTACCTCAGTCACTCATTTTTCAGTCACTGGGGAGGGGATGTTACCTTCCATATGGGTTAAATGAAACACCTTTGTGTTTCATTACCAAAATGTTATCCAGTCCATTGCATAAGACATGAGCAATTTCTAAAAATTGAGCATCCGATCAGTGTTTTCTCGCACATAAAATTTTAGTGAAAAAATCATATATTAGTAAAAGACTACTAGAAAGAAGGAGAGAGGACATAAATTAGAGAATCATTGGCTTATTGTACAGAATAAGATTCCATGTGAATATAG